GAAGTGGAGCAGCCAGGAATTGAACCATTGCTCATAAGGGATGCTTGCTTCCTAGGTGGGGGCTGCTTCTGCTGTGCCACAATGATGGCTGTAGCATTAAGGATTAACTTTTTTAAAGGTAGTGAAACAGAACTTATATCTTTAAGCTTAACAAAAATGAATACCAGTAAAAATGACAACATTCCATGCATTATATCAACTATGTTTCCTACTTAGCCCCTACAGGTCTTATCTGACAACCACATTTTGGACTTTAGGGGCTGTGACTTCTTGGTAGGTTTTGGGAGACAGCTGTACTTCAACAACAGTTCTGTGGGAATATTAAACATCTCCTGGGGAAAAGTGACTAAACTCATGCTGTCCCCAGAAGCACTGAAGGTTTTCATAGCAACTATCTTCTAGGTATTTTTTCCTCAAAAAATGGGCAACATTGCCAATTAGACCATACTAGATTGATACCTTTTCTCTGCCATACTGCTAGTCTCTCTAGCAGTTGGAATTGGAGTACCCACCAAAGGTATTCCTCCTTTAATGCTGGCAAAGCCCAATTCCTCTCCCAATCAATCCCACACAGTGAACAGAATAAACACTTAAAAAAAAGAAATACACAAACAATTTCACAAATCACATCAGTGTAGGGCAGGATATTCAAAGGCTGAATGATTTGGAGGTTGAAGAAATGTATTTCAGCTATCATAGGTAGAGTCAATATTGTCCTTAGATTAAAAAAAAAAAAAAGAACCCTTTGGAAACTTGGGGCCATCACATGTAAAATCCATATTGTCCATCAAGAAAGGAAACTTTTGGAAACTTGAAACAGACCACAACTTCTATATTTTTAACAAGAACTAGGTCATGTCCACACTGAAACCATCAAGACAGAGGGAATGAGGACTCACCAGTGGGTTTAGACCACTCATGACTCCTCACATGGAATAGAGCAGAATTCGGCCCTCCCTGAGCTCACTGGGGTGACCACCACACACAGCAGGAGCTTGGCTGCGGTAGAGGCAAAATGGCTTCTGTGGTAGAAACTGGAAATGACATAATATAGTTAAGGGCCCTATAAAATATATAACAATATAACAATATAAAATAGCTCCTGAAAATTTCCTACATCCTTGGCATTCATAGGTAATCTTCCCATGTAAAGGTACAGATATATGAAGCTAAATTTCTAGTTGTTGACTCTCATAAAAGCAACTCTTTCGAGAGCTTTTCTCTTTCCTGACTCATATTATATTGAAGAAAGAGACAGTATATTCCCCACATTCTTAAGGTTCCTCTCCAATGTGAAATCTGTGGTGTTTAAATGAGCTTAGGAGTTACAGCTAAATGATCAGCAAAAGTTCTAAATAACGATGCCTTTCACAAGTGAGAATTTTCAAGTGACAGACAAAGTGAGAACATTTTCTGTAGGCTTTCTTACATAAACTGAACATCTAAGGTCTATATCTAGTGTGAAGTTTTGGGTGTAGAATGTTCTGGAGTTGCCACCACAGAACTTTCCACATTCACTTCATCCATAGGCACTGCTCTGGTGTG